AAAATAATGTTTACCACCATGATATGAAGCTATACCTGTGTATTGCTGAGCTTGTTTTGTTAACGGAACACAATGGAATGCGGATTTGAGATCAATTACACTTACGACTTTAGCATTAGCGTTTCCTATTGTCTTTATAGTTTCAACTAGTAGCGGGAATGGGTGGTTTATACGTTTGATTCTGGAATTTAAGTACCGAAAATCTGTAACGACGCGTTTATCAGTTGAGTTTTTCTTGGAAACTAGTAGTACAGGTGATGTGTACGATTGATGTCCTATTTCTAGAATCCCCAATTTAACTAATTTGTTTAGTTCTGTGTCAATATTCTTTTTGTCTTTGTCTGTAGCGAAATATGGTCGTATGAAAAATGGGTCATAGTTTGTTAAATGAATGTCTGCTTGAAAGTTAGGGCAACTGGAAAGTTCACCATACAGTGAAAATGCTTCCCTATGTTTAGTTAGTGTATCATAGAGGTCATCCTTTTCAGTATGGGATAAAATGCTGTCACTAAGATCAATATATTTCCTGAGTACTTCTTGTTCTGTCATTGAAGCTAATGGATCGTTTATTTCTAAATGTGGATATTTTCTTAAGTTATCTTGCTTGAATTTTAGTCTGTCAATTGGTAGTTCATTAGTCACAGTTACAAGGTTAGTTAGGTGAAGATTAGCAACTGATTTTTATTTTGATATTGATACATTACGTTTAGTCGTGTTAGTTAGTTTTTCTTGTGTTTCTCCCCTGTGTAGTGTTACTAACATATCTGATGGACATAACCTAGATATCATATCAGTAGCATGTAAAACTACTTCAGAATTGCGTACAAAAGCTGGGACTCTAGCCCTTAATTTTACAGTTTTGGTATGGCCTGGCCTAATTGTAACATGCGATGTTGGCTTGAATTTGAATACCGTACTTTTGGTCTGATGTGAAATGTGTTGTCCCGAAAGATTAACGTTCCATCTAAGTCAGCTAACGTTTCTGTACCTAAAACTAAATCAATGCCAGTCAAATTTTCTACAATCAAAGCGGAAATTTTAAATTTGTGACTTTGTATTGATAAATCAAATTATACACATCTAGATGTGTATAAGAGACATGGCATATAAGTATTCACCGTTCCCTAAACGAAATTTAGTCGGTTGTACGAGTGTAGGCGTAAGCTGTGACAAATACTTTGAAGATTGGACATAGGATTGAGATATAATTGTCATTGTAGCACCGCTATCAAATAAAGTCAAAACATTTTTGCCATCAGGTAAATTACCTTTAACATAATTTTTAGCATTTAATTGTAAATCAACCTTATCTGAATTTCCAAGATATTGCGCCTTGTGTGAATGTAATGCTGGTTCCTGTTTGTTTGCACTAAGTATTGTATAGGGACTCGAACAATTGGCGTAGTTGTCTAATCCCCTTAGTGAAAATGTGAATTCTGTCGTCTGTTGGTATAAACTGACTGAAAATTTTGAATTCGGTGGCACGTTGTCTACACTCGCGCCAAACGTGACCTGGTTTAGAACAATAATGACAAACTATACCTCGTTCTGTTGTTAAATCGATGCCTAGTTTGGCGATATGGGCTTGGGCTTCGACGGGAATTATTAGTTCTTGGTGCATGGTGTCGTTCGACTGAACGTGAACGCCTAGGGCTATCAGTGGGCCTATTCAAGTTAGCAGTTGCAAGGTCAATTTTATTGCATTAAGTTCGTGTTTAAGTGTTGCAATTTCAGATGTTTCTTGAATATTGAAACTGATTTCTCGTGGCTTATCCTCCACGGACAGATCAAGGTAATTTTGAGCACTAGTTACTAGATTATCTAGTGTGGCATCAGCCGGTATTGACATAGCAATCGCTGTTCTACATTTAGGTGGTAGTGTTGCAATAAATGTATTTTTTATCTGTGGATCTGCGTATCCTATTCTGTGTGCTGCCTGTTTGATACGGGTAATATGCCTTTCAGCACTATCCCCTGTCTGGTAAGTGATTGAGTCGTACTCCCTAATGTGGGTGTACACTGATTTGTTTTTGCTAAACCTGTTATTAAATTGAGTTTTCAAGCTATCCAATGTGTCAAATGTCTTTCCTTGGATCCATAGCCTAGCCTGACCTTGTAAACTACGCTTAAAAATGCTAATGACATTTTGTAATGCAGCATCATCTGCAGGATTTTGTAGCGTATGGGCTTCTAAGTAGTTCATAAAGGAAAGAAAGTGCGCACTAAATTGATCATGGTCTGTTGTTTCACCATCATAGCGTTTAGGTAGGAAATCTGTCTGCCTCAATTGAGGGGCTTGTGGCACTTGTGGTGCTTCGTCTACCATTATGATTAAATTAGCAAATTATATTTTTTTTTAAATATGGTAATGCAAATACATTAACTAAACTCAATTGTTCAACGGAAGCAGCAAATGCAATGATTGAAAATACACTCAAACTCTTTCACACAATGATGGAATTAAAAAATATATTCAACTTACCCATTTAATGCATTCTTGATAAACAAAATGCAAATTCCAAGCAAACAAAAGTTCAGTAAAGAAATGAAATTTAAGAGAAATTAAATGTTCAAAGTTTTACGTTGGCCTAAAGTTCAAAAGTTAGAGCGTTTTCCATCGTCATGGGGTGAAGTCCAAGTGAAGTCGGCTTGTCTCGAATCCTAATAACTTTCGGTCATCTGTCGGCTTGTCTCGAATCCTAATAACTGACGGTCATCTGTCGACTTGTCTCGAATCCTAAAGAGTTTGTCATCTGTCGGCTTGTCTCGAATCCTAATAAGTTTGACATTTGTCGGCTTGACTCGAATCCTATTTTGTGTCTGTTTCGTTTGTTACGTTGTAGGATTTCGGCTGCTAATTGCAGATATGCCTAGCAATATGTGATCTGCTTGTAGTTGTTGCGGTATTTGAAGAAAACGTTTAATTCATTTCCAAGATTCATGTCATTCAGAAAGGACAAACAATGTGCTTAACCGCAATTCGAGTATCGTTTAGTCGTTTAGCGCGTCCTCAATTGTTTGGCGATATGTGCTCAGCTTTGGAAAGGAGGTACCGTGAAATCAATCATTAGGGTCTTGCACCATGTTAAATATCGGTTAGTTGTTGTCGACTTTGAATGAGTAGTATGACACAGTTCCTTTTAGTTCACTGCAAACTTTTATACACACAAACACTACGTTTGTTACAATCAGCTAAACTCCAGGTTTCAGATGTTAGAGAACCCTTTTAGAGTGGAGTCAGCTCAGCTCTGTACTTTTCTTCTGTGTTAAATCTAACTACTGACTACTGATTACTGATTACTGGTTACTGACTAATTACTGGTTACTGACTACTGATCCAGTGATATGGGGGTGTTTGCCTATTATACTTTAGTTTAGTAAGTCACCCCATACTTTTAGAGTTTCTGATTGGATCATAGAGAAATTCTTTCTCTATGATTTAGTAACTTGTTTACCAAAAAACTGCTAATTAAGATGTATCACAAACTTCAGAGCTTAGGCTCAAAACTGACAATCATAGATTCATAGTGTGAGAAAGGCCAAATCCAACTGACTAGGGTAAAGTTATACAAAGTCCAGTTATATTATTAGATTATCTGTATATTCAAGTTGACCATTAAAACTGTCAAACCAATTTAAGGCATTTATCAGGTGAAGGGTATCGATTCCAATGGTTATGCAAGTTCATACTATTGAACCTTAATACTACATCTTTTTTTGATCATATGGTCGCTGGTCGCTGTCTGAACTGCTTGACCGTCAGTTCAATTTGAACTGTAATTTCTTCTGATTTCTGATTCTAAATGTTTGTATATGGCTGCATATTGTAATTGTGGATATCTTCTGTATTTAATCGTTGTGCATTTATTAGTCTTGGAGTTTTATCGAGTAAACTGTTTTGGATGTATTTTTCTAACCGGCGTAGCCCTTACCTAATTGCAACAATGGAGAACTATTCAATTGAATGCCCTCGCGATAACGTGCATGTTGACTCGACGCATGGAATGCCCAATACAAAAGATGACAATACCAGGTACATACCTTGCCTTCGTGAGTATGATATACGTTGTTATCAACCATGTTGTATAAGGAACAAGCGTTATAAACGTAAACGTAAGCGAGGTGGGAGGAAATTAAGACGTAGAATCGAAGTGCGAATAAACACAGGTAACTGTTGGAATAATTTTAAACGTAATTCTAGTAGATGCTGGTCTATTGACGAACGGAAACTTAAGAATAACAATCTAATTAATATCAGATTGGAGCCGAAGTCTAATTTTGTTCACCCGAGCCCCCAATTATTCTTATCAAATGCAAGATCATTGAATAATAAGAACGATGAGTTTGAAGCAACGATAACAAAACTTGGTAATGATGTAGCTGTTATTACAGAATCATGGCTGAATGACCGAACCGAAGCTTTAGCTAACATTCCTAAGTTCAATTGTATTGCAAAGAATAGGTGCGAACGTACAGGAAGAGGAGTTGCTTTATTTATAAATAACAAATTTAGCGTACACAGTTTTGTCGAACATGAAGCATGTGACTATGAATGTTGCTGGAGGAAAGTCATTCTCCCCAATTCAGGTAGGACCTCCCAGTGCTACTTCATAGGAGCCGTCTATTATCCACCATCAGCCATGGTGGTGAAGACTTGTTAGACCATTTAATACATACTGTTGATGCAATCCGTTCCAAAGATCTCTCCACACCTATTCTCATATTAGGGGATTTCAACGACTTGGACACCGGTCTGTTAACATCCAGTCTTTCTATGACTCAGATTGTTCATTTTTCTACACGCAAAAATTCATTCTTGGATAAAGTTTTCATTAGCCATCCTGAACTCTATCACCCTCCTGAACGCCACGCACCCTTAGGTCGTAGCGACCATGACTGTGTGGTTATTAAACCACGAAACGAAATCAAGCAGTCGAAGTATGTCCACACTAAGGTGAGACCTTATACGGACTCCTCACTCAGGAGCTTTGGGCAGTGGATTACGGTACATGAGTGGGGTGAAGTTTATTGGCGCCTACAAAGTTTGTCCCATTATCGGAATGTATTTGCTTCACTTGGCCTCTACGTGCGATGAATCTTCGCAAGGCGTTGATACACGAGTCAGTATACATTGAGTGCGCCACTTCTATGTGAATGGCGCGTGTTGCAAAACAGGTAAATATGACGCCATATCGTTTTTCTAAGGTGCGTCCTCGTTTGATTTCAAATGGTCCGAAGTAGTCGGTACCAACCCTAGTGAAAGGTGGTTCATCCGGAGCGATGCCATCCACTGGCAGATCTGCCATCTTCTGCTCACATGGTTTTGATCTTAATTTTCGACACATCACACACTTGCCAATTATTCTCCGAATAGCTGAGTTAGCCTTCACGATCCAGTATTTTTCTCTCAACTTCGACAATACAAAGTTCCGTCCACTATGTCCTACAACACTATGAGTGTGACGAATGATAAGTTCCGAAACATTGGATTTGTTCGGCAAGATAACTGGTTGCTTGCTTTCCTGCGGCATTCTTGAACGTTCCAAACGTCCTCCCACTCTCAATGTTCCATTTGATATTGTGGGATCCAACTTGAAGATTGAACTTCCTGTCTTTATCGGCTTAGCAACATTCTTTTCCAAACTTTCGATTTCATCTCCAAACGCCTTTCTCTGAACCAGTATTATCACTTCTCTCTCCGCATTCTCAATGTCGGATAATTCTAAGGGTTTGCCAAATTCTGCAGCTTTACTTTGTCTTAGTTTGGATATTTCTGCTTCTACTAGCCGTCCTGTTTCTTTTGAATCATTCCCGTTAATCATTCCTGTTAACTCTTTTGTCAATTCTTTACGCAGTTTGCTGAAATTATGCAACATACTTCGAAACTTCAACAGCCATGCTACAGATTTTCTCAAGGTTGCCCAATCTGAATATCTGTTCATCACACGAGTCAGAATTTCCTCTGATTCAGCCAACATGATAGCACTTACTAATATAGGTGCCTTTACTTCAGGATCGTTGTCTCTCAGTTCTAAGGCGCAGCGTTCTTTGGGCCAGTTCTCTTCTGGCTTCCACAAGAAATCTGGTCCTTCAAGCCAACGATGGCAGTTTAAAAATTCTTCGGAGGTCTGTCCTCTCGATGCATCGTCTGCGGGATTTAATTCTGTAGGAACATACTTCCACTGTGACGGTGCTGATCGGTCTAGAATAGTAGTTAAGCGGTTCGCCACAAAGGTATGATACCTTGCTGTCCTGTCGTTTATATATCCGAGGACGGCCGTGCTGTCCGACCAAAATACACTTGGTCCTACTTCACTTTGTAATTCTTCCTTCAGTAAGGAATCTAACTTTGTTGCAATGGTAGCAGCATTCAGTTCAAGTCTGAGAACAGTTATATTCTTAAGCGGTGCCACTCTAGCTTTTCCCATTAAAAAACTGCAATGTATGTCTCCTAGTTGATTCACTGACTGTAGGTAAGCCACAGATCCGTATCCACTTTCACTTGCGTCTGCAAAGTGGTGAATTTTAGAGTGTTTCAACTCTCCAAAGTTGACAGGTCGGTAACAGCGCTGAACTGAAATTTGCTCGAACTTGGGAGATTTCGTTTCCAAACTGTCCAGCCCTCGCTTAAGGATTTTGGTATTTCTTCGTCCCATTCTAGATTGAGCCGACATAAATCTTGCAGCAAGTTCTTAGCTGGTAATATGAGGGGTGCTGCAAATCCTAAAGGATCGTAAACAGATGAGACAATTGACAAGATACCTCGTCTGGTAGCAGGTTGTTCTCTCTCAGCTACTTTGAAACTGAAGCTGTCTGTCTCCACCATCCAATGAACTCCCAGGACACGTTCAATTGGCAGAGCGTCACGATCCAAGTCAAGACCATTTAATTCTTTGGCCCTTTCTGCTTCCGGTATAGTTGATATCACGTTACGTCGATTGCTACTCCACTTGGTGATATTGAAGCCTCCTGAAGAGCACAGTGACCTTATCTTCGTAACTGTGGCAATTACTTCGTCTTCTGTAGCAACAGACTTAAGGTAGTCATCTACGTAAAAGATAAGATCAACGGTTCTTGTGACCTTTTCATCGATGTTGTCTAAGTTGTCTTTAGCTGTTCTCAATAGGGCAAAATTAGCAACACTTGGAGAGGATTTGGCTCCAAATATGTCCGGTCCCTGCATAAGTTGGTCGTTGAGTGAAGTCCCTTGGTAGCGTGCAGCGCAGTCGAACACCACCCGGATTTTGCCTGGCTTCTGTGGATGGTAGATTCCATGATGTGGCAAGTACCACAACATGCCATCATTACGTACTAGTTCGTGAGCTCCTACTCGCTCAGCATATCCTGCTTCTATAATCTTGTTCACAAATATTTTATAGTCTTCAAAGAACCTTTCGGATCTTTCGAACTTGCGTCTTAATTGGTAGGCTCGCTGATCTGCCTGGGCCTTGTTATTAGGCATATATACGCCATTCTTTAGAGGTAGACCAATTTCGTAATGCCCATTCCTTAATTTTATGCTATTCTCTACTTTGAGTAGGAACTCTCTGTCTTCTCTGGAAGGCTCCAATTTTTCCCCGGCACTTCGTTCATTGAAGTCATTATTAACGTAATTTTGAAATTGGGTTTCGAGATCTGCCTTTACACTTATCTTGTTATCCGTCTGACTGGTCCATTCACAGCCCATCCAAGACAAGTCCGTGTCGCATATGGGCCATCTTCTTCACTGTTGATGACTTCCCATGGTTCCATTGCTTTAGGTACATCATTGCCTATCAGCAGTCCGATATCTGCATTTATTTCCTGAATATGTACTGCTCTGAGGTATGGCCATTCATTTATGTCTTTCTGAGTGGCTATTTCGGCCCTTGTAACTGGAATCGTCTTAGTGGTGTAAGTTCTCGGAAGTCTCACAAAGGGCCCCACCTCAAGGTTGGTAACTTCCAATGACGTTATGACATAACTCTCTACAGGTTTCTCGCTTTGGCCCATTGTGGACAGCAGCAGCCGAGTGGGTTTGGCCTCGACTCCAAGCTGCTGCATTAGCTCCTCAGTACAAAAGGTTGCTGAACTTCCACTGTCCAGAAACGCATGCGTTTGTATAGCTTTTCCTGTGTTTCGAGACCTTTCCAGCACAGGTACAATAGACATACAGTTGTCCAAATTACCGGCCCCTAACGCGCTGGTTATTACGTTTGTGTGTTGCAGTATTGCATTGGATGTAGCCTTTTGGTTTGTATCAGTCTGTGGCTTTGGTTTCATTGGTTCACTTACTTTAATGTCGGTGTTATGTCTCTCTCCTGCAAAGTGTAAAACGGTAGGGTGCTCCTTGCTACATACCCTACAGCTAACCCTTTTCTTACATTCGCTACTCCTGTGACCAAGTGCGAGGCAGTTAAAGCAGAGGCCCTTAGATTTTTGGAAGACTATCTTCTCACCATGTGTCTTCTGCTGCATACGACGGCACATTTCTAAGGTATATCCTCCGGAACAATAAAGGCATGGTGCGCTGTATGCATTTCTATACTTCTGACCTATTGGGTCTTCCTTGACTTCAACTGCAAACGATGATTTTGTTTGTGGTCTATAGGGGCGTGTTGATTCCCTTTTTACTTGCCTCCCAAAGACTGGGTCAGTTGCGATTCTGACTTCCCTGGAAAGAAAATCCACAAGGTTCTTGAAGGTAACATCTCCATCTCGTTCAAGTCAATTGCTTTACGGCTCCAACGGTCCTGTATAAAGAAACCAATTTCTTCACGATAGCTTGTAAATTTTTAGGATGTTCAATTTCTTTCATTGACTTGAAGTCATCCATTGCGTTCTTGCATTTGTTTAAAAAGATGGAAAACTTCTCTAGGCCCTAGACATCATCGGGTTTTATGGTGTTCCAATCCATTGTTTTATTAACGTAAGCTTGTGTTATTTTGTATTCATGTCCATACTTTTCGTTAAGCAATTTCCATGCTTCCGCATATTAAGCTTTTGCGTCCAAATGCATGCAGCTTCGAACCAGAGTATTTGGGTCGCCAGTTGTGTATTGTTCCAAATAGTGCAGCTTTTCACTCAAACGATTAGTTCGGCTAGCAACTCTACTCTCAAATGCCTTCATAAAAGACCGATATTCAATTAGGTTCCCACCAAATATTGGAATGCTTGATTGTGGCAACAGATTCCTTTGCTGTTGATCTAAGATCAGTTGTGTTAGTTTTTCCTGGGTACGCTGGGATGCGGACATCTGTGACATTATTTCGTAGAGTGCTTGTTGGGGAAGTGGGTTAAAAGCTGGAGCGTATGGGTTCATTCCGGCCATTTGCGCATGAGGTCCGTAGTTTAGGTTACCAGCTCCTTACGGCTCCTTACGGCTGGTTTACGTTCATATTTGCCGGATCTGAAGCAGGATTTATAAGTTGTGGTTGACTGTTTTGCGGTGGATTTGGGACATGATTGCTTGTAGTTTCGAGTAGAAGTTGTGGATTCGGTTCATCTGGGTTCACATATTGAGCCATGTGATTGGTTCCTTCTAAATCATTTGTTACTTCATTAGCGATCCTATAGCCGTTCTCCATTTCTTAAATTTCTGCAATTTCCACTTCTGTGTAAACTCGTTCCCTAGCACTTGCAATTTCAATTTCAGTTTGAAGTGTGAGTTCCTCCATTTCTATTTGTAATGCCAAGGTTTTTTGTTTTAGTTCTCGTTTCTTTCTGAGAGCTTCTTGTTTGGCCAAGAGTCCGGCTTTAATCGCTGTTTTTTTCATTCTGCTATTTGAAGCAGCCGATGATGTACGACTTGCCCGTGATCCTTCTGGGCGGACCTCGCCTTGATTACCTACACAAGGCTCTCCATAATTTGTACTCCATGGGTTTCTATGGCCTGTTTGGCCGCCCATATTCCGAAGTTCCTCAGCGACGAAGGCTGATGAGACCTCATCTATCAACGACATGTCATATTGCCGCTGGGTTTCATCAACTGGTTTCCGGGTTTCCATAACGTCTTTCAGTGATGTTGGCTCTAAATAAGACGCAAGACTCAATGTTCAAAACAATCACCATCCAGGCCAACATTTTCAATGCGTGATTCTTTATTCCGATAAAACAAATCAATTAACGATTCACGTTCCCCACGTTCACGTTATCCATACAAAATTATTCAACGGAATCCACAATAATAATTCTTAATAAACTCACGATCACGTTTTCACGTCACGATCACGTTTTCACAATCACGATTGACTAAAATATAAAAGAATAACAATATGGCATAACTATTTATGTTCATAATCAATGGTGTAATTATCTTCTAACTAAAATCAAGGTATTATCTATATTACTGAAGTAGGCAAATATTGTATACACTGTAACATTAAGCTCCCAGCATACCAAGCAAATGCAATCAACTTAGGGGATCATCCCAGCTAACAATTTAACGTTAAAAAAACGTTATAAAAACGTACGAGTTTGGTTCAAAAAACGTTTTAGTAAAACGTTTCGAAAACGTAATTTTGTGGAGTTTTGATAGCGTTTTAATAACGTTTTAATGTAACGTTTTAAAAACGTTATTATAACTCAAAAATAACCTTGGTTACAACGACTTTGGTCTTGTATCACGTTTTTAAAAACGTTTACAAAGGGTTTTTATTACGTTTGTAAAACGTTATAATATTACGTTTTAAAAACGTATTTATGTGGATTTTTTAAAGCATTTTAATAACGTTTCAATTTAACATTCAGAAACGTCATTATAACGTTATTTTGATGTTTTTAAACGTTTTTAAAACATTCTTAAAATGTGTTACAATACTTTGGTATTGTAACACATTTTAAGAATGTTTTGAAAACGTTTAAAAACATCAAAATAATGGTAAAACTTTTGAGTTTGATCGGTGTTCCAAGGCGTTTTCAAAACTTGAACAAACGCTGTACACTGAACTGTAGATATCCTTAGGTCGGCCTCTGGTCACATGTATGATTCCAACTACATCGTGTTGACTTTGATGCTCCGGGACAGAAGAGGACAACAATACAAAATTACTTACACTTATGTAGCGTTATATGTTTATCCTTTAATGTTTAATGCGTCCTGTACTGTACTTTGCTATACTGTAGTTTAGCAAAAGTTCCATTTCAATATAGGAGAAAAGGATTTACAATAATCAATATAAAAAAAAATAATAAATCAAAATCAAGTTAGAGTCAAGTGCTGACAATTGTATACTATTTCTGTAAGTACAGTTAATAAAAGATCAAGTTCCATATCATCTATTCAGTATTTGGCAAGTTCAATTGATTAAAAAAATGTTAAACAAATATCAAAAATAAACAAGAGGCCGAGTGTACAAAAACTCCATAGTGCACACTTAAAAATGTAGGATATTCGGAAAAGCAGATGGCTACACTGTCTCTGAATCAAGCCTTGACAGAGGAAATTCAT